TAAATTTTTCCCCAAGAAGTCAATAAGCCGTTTAATTTTTTCCCCGTTGTCCTAACAATGTAAAGACGGTTTATCGACTTCTTGAGAAGAATTCTAAGAAGAAAGTAAACCTGCAGACATCGGTCTTGTTTAACAAAATCTGCCTATTTCAATATTAGTAAATATCAGTTTTATGATTTCCAGTTATGTGGATTCCAATAATAATAAAAATGCCTAGGGTTCACTCCCAAAATAGAAAAATTCATGCTAGTGATAATACCAACAGTAATTTAAGTTGTATACATAAAAACATAACTTCCAGTTGAAGGAGGCTGTAAGGTGCTGGTTAGAAGTCATTTAGAATATTTCATTCAGCTGTGATCACCTTATTTAAGAAAAGATGTTGAGTTATTGGAAAAGGTTCAGAGAACAGCTACCAGGATGAATCCAGGTTTGGAGGGATTATCATATGAAGGTTGAAAACTCTAAATCTGTTGAAGATTAGGGCTTGGTGGGACATAATTGAGGTTTTTAATATTGTTAGAGATTTTATATCTATAAATATGGATGTTTTTGTAAAACAGTTGGAGGAAATGGGACTTAAGGTCACAAGTTTTAAAATGTGGAAGACTAAGGTGACACCAGGTGTAGAAGAACAGCTTCAGCATTTGAGATCAGAGTTGGATATAAGAAAAGGGATATCTTTATGTGGTTTAATAGAAAAAATGGGATATATATATATATATATATACACACACACACATACAAAGATAACAATGCAACATTTTACTTTGTCATACAACAGTATCCATGGATTGAAGTGTATGATCTGAAGTTTGTCACTCTCTTATAACAACATTACAAACTAAAGTAACAGTAGAGAAGAACCAGGAAAAATTGAACTCTCAGTGTGTTTCACATGTGTGCAGGAGAGAAAAGGTCAAAGAATGTGGCCACCTTACTTATTTATGTGTAAGGTTGTTTATAATGAGGTATTTAAGTGTTATACTTCTTTAGGTATGTTCCAAAGATTGGATAAAATGAGGAAGAATGCTTTTGGTAGTGTTTGTCTGTTTGGAGAAGACCATAACAGCACCATCTCTGGCATCTGGATTTGGAGAGGACACCAGTTGGCTTTTGAAGTAAGTTTTGTATTAGTGTGAGTAAAACATTTCTCTCTCAATCAGATGTATTTAGTAGCTTCTTTAATAAAAAAGGTAATTCTACCATAACCAGCTGGGTGGATACCACCCAGCTCGTAACTATGAAAGTATCCATGAGTAATTATGCTATAATTTTTGATATGTACGCATATTTTTACAACATTTTACAGGTTATTGGTAATCATTACAATGCTTTCATATATAAAATATTAGGTTTTTAAATTAAGTATTAAGATTTTCTTAACTAAATATTTTCTCATAAAATTCTTTTTTAAAGAATGTTGACTATTCAACATACAAAGTAATTTTGATTTTAAGATTAAAAATACTTTTATACATTAGAACATTTTCAAATTTCACATGCAAGATCTTTATAACCTTAGAACAAAAACCTATATTTTGTGTTATTTTCACTACTGTATCTCTGTACAGGTTGAGTTAATTTTACCGACGTAACCACCATAAAAAATTATATATTTATATATATATATAAATTATGCTTTTTTTTCGTTCTGGAATGACTACAAATTATAACACAAACACGTGTTTAGTGTTAATAGCTTAAATTTCATAACATTATACACGTGTATATATTTATTTATTATTTTTATTATAATAACCTCTCATTTGTGCCTGGCTAACATTATATAAGATGCAGTGCATGGCACATGCACTCATGTTATCCAATAATATAAAACTGGCCTTTACAAAGTGACCTGTCTTGGCTGTTTTAGTGGACCAGTATTTTGTAAAATGGTCACATTTCAGTTATAATACATTATATACGTATATACATTATTACTGTTTACAAATAACTTCTTAATCTTAAACTTATTTTTATTAAAATATAAAAGTATAGAAAACAATTCTCTTTTAGTTACAAACTTTGTACTTGTTTGCTGCTTGCTGTAGGTTGCTAAGCCTTGTCAAATTTTGCACATGGAGGATGAAAAGCAAAATAAATTTAGGTTTTATATATACATTTTAAAATAACCAAAAATTGTAAATTACAATATCAATTCCAGTATAATTTATCAAGCTTAGTAACTAAGCTATATTTGGGTCTAAAATATTTTGCAATTTCAAGCTCACTAAAGTCTTACCTTGACGCTTGAAATCTAGCATTAAAAGAATAAGTTTGTCACCCAAATATTTCAAAAAAGCTGAGAAAGCTACTAGGGGGACATTTTGAGCTTTCAATTGGTTAGTCACACTTTACAGACAGAAGTATGTGTACGTAGGTCTTTCCAAAAATTGACATGTGGGCTGGACCACTGATTCAGTAAATTAAGCATATCTTGGCAAATAGAAAAGATAGGAGGTTCTTATTTTATATTCCAGCTTGTCAATATTGATAACTTGAGTTCCTAATTCATAAGAAACTATAGACTTTTTATTTGGACATCACAAACATGTAATTTCAACCAGTGCTGCATTCAACATATCCAGATGACATACAAAAATCAATATTATAGAATAGTTATTTTTTAATATTTAATTAAGAAATTAGATAAGGTATAATACTAAAATTTGAATTATAATCTACGGTTTGATGCATGCCAAACTTATTTACATACATTCATAAAATAGTAGTTCACTAAAATTTTGAATGTGAGTATAAATGTGATGATGTGGCCTGAAGACCTGTAGAAATAGGGTTCAGTAAAATTCAAAACCAAATATTTGTTAATTTTGAACTTCTATATTTTTTTGTTCCTTCTCTGTACCTGAGCTGGTAATAACATGTAACAAGAGGTGATGTAACATGGTTGTAATAGCTTTTCTTGAATGTTTTTTTTTTTCTACAGTTGCCATAGTGACTTAGTTTAGTAAAACATTTAAGCTGATACATGAAAAATGCCGACTGTACTTTAATGCTGTGAGTGTTTATAAAAGTGACAGTCATGTCTCACTATTCAGTGAGACAAGTTTGTGGTGGGTGATATTTACAAGTAGGCTCTCCTCTGATCAGTTTAAAGTTAGGGATGGCAATGTGTTGATAACCTTCCTGTAGTATTATTGTGTAAAGCTAAATGAACAATTGTGCATATTTACTGACATGAATAACTGAGTTTTAATGTGTGTAAGGAAAGTAAATTCTCTGGAAGGATTCAGAAAAAGTTAATTCATTTGGCATGTTAGAAATAAAATCTTATTTGAGAAATGTTTATTAAAGTTTTTTATATTTTTTTTGTTCCCTTTTTCTCAGCTTTCCCCTGACTGGCGGGTTGACTATGAATCCTACACTTGGACCAAACTGGATGCTGATGCTGAAAACACCAAGAAACTAGTAAATGAATACCTTGCATGGGAGGGAGATTTTGGAGGCAAAAAGTTTAACCAGGGCAAGATCTTCAAATAAATAGCACCTTCTTCATAGAACTTACAAGCATGATGAATGTCTCACTGAAGAACTAACCAGTTACAAGTGCTTCTTTCTTAAGCTTATTAAATTAAAACGTTCACAAGTGTCAATTTAAGAAACTTGGTACTTTATGTGAGAATTCATCTGTTAAGTAAAGAACTCGTGCTAATAAAGATTTGTTAAAGAAAAAACTTTCTGTGTTATAATGAGGTAACCACGTTTTATGTCGGGTCATAAACACAAACATGTTCTTATATCTAACTTTTTGAAGTGTTTTTCATTGTGGTTTTCAGTAATGTTGGATAGTCGCCCAAGTAAGGTTCTAAAGAAAAAACATGGTTGCTTTGTTTCTTTTATATGTGAAACTTGGTAAAAACAGTTGAATAGTTTAAATATCACTTATAACACGTCCTGCATGAAGTGTTCACAGTTGAATAATTTAAATATCACTTGTAAACACGTCCTGCATGAAGTGTTCACAGTTGAATAATTTAAATATCACTTGTAACACATCCTACATGAAGTGTTCACAGTTTTAATAGAACAAGTTTCGTATTCACGTAAATAATATCATAAATGAGGTCACCACAGTTTAGTATGACCACGATAACACACTAAATGTGTAAATATTCCACAAACCACTTATCAGAATCTTTGCATGAAAAAAGCATTTTCTCAGCTGATGTGTATTTTCAGGAATTTTGAAACGGTCAGTCTGATTGGCTAACGAGTTGTGTATAATAAATTTCAAAACTAACCTCAAGCACGGCTTCCAATAACTGAGCTCTTATTGTTTTAAACTTCATTCTTAATTCATCTGTTTAATGTATAATTGGCCACCTTTTGAAGAGAAAAAGTAAGGGCGTGCCACAGCATGGACCTAGCTAGGGGCCTGTTCCCCCGAGTAAATATGAAATAATTCTATTTCCTGCATTCTAGGCCCCAGAATAACTGCAAACAAGTTCATTGTTAATCCAGTACTTCATTGTTTCACTTAAAACGGTTTTTATAACAATAATTTATTGGTTGACGTACTGTGAACCTTTTATAATCGGTGTGATGTGGTGTCGGATAACTAAAGATAGGCCTATATGTCATATACTTGTTGGTTTAACAAATAATCATAATGTATGAATAAAAATATGTCAAAAACGGTATCTGTCGTATACAGTGCTGACGAGGGCTCCTGAACACAGTATCTGTCGTATACAGTGCTGACGAGGGCTCCTGAACACAGTATCTGTCGTATACAGTGCTGACGAGGGGTCCTGAACACAGTATATGTCGTATACAGTGCTGACGAGGGCTCCTGAACACAGTATCTGTCGTATACAGTGCTGACGAAGGTTCCTGAACACAGTATCTGTCGTATACAGTGCTGACGAAGGATTGATACGAGAGTCTCGTGGTTGGCGCTATTTATATCAACATGGAAAACAACTATTGTGGTGGTAAGTAAATTACGTAATTGACCTGTGGAATTATCCTCCAATTTATCGAAGTTATTTACAAATTAGAATCACAGTAAAAATTAACAACACGGTTATACTTTAACTATTTATAAACCTAGTGTATCAAGAATTTGTTAAAACGTTCGATAGATGGCGTACACGCATAATGATAATTTTCAAAGCAGGAAATTTTTTAGAAAACATTCCACGTCAATTAACTAGCTGTATTAATGCGAACTGGTGTAGTTTGAACCTGTAGGTTTTAGGTTAGTTATTGTATGGACTTTTTGATATAATTTATATCATCACTGTTTAATGCACGTGCTCTCGGTTAATGTCGATGTTAGTATGTATACCTATCTGTATAAAAGTAGGATTGAAATATAAAAATACCGTAGAATGTAATAGACACAAGACAATTTGAATCTACTGAGGATTGTATTTTTTTAATTTTCTAGGTCTAGTAAATTGAAGTTGGAGAATTGTTTTAAAATTTTATGAATATATTTAAATGTACTACATTTATTGGTTAAGTTCTTTCTTCGTCAAAATGTGAGTCTCGGTGAAGAAAAGATGGCGTTGTCTATTCTTTGATTCACTACCACCATTGTAACAGACTAGTTTCGCCGAACTCGCGGCTCGTGAAAGAACGAATCAGATAATTATATCTTTAGGCTTCACATAGTGGTGGAAAGTAGGGAGTTTGTTTGACTTAAAGGTGAGTAAAGGAATGTGCAAACGTTATATAAGAGAGGAGAAAACTCCAAGATGGGGCACTGTATGCAGAGAATGATATATCTCTTATTACCCGTCAGCCCACCATTTCTGTTACGAGTTATAATACATATATAAACTACTCTTGACTTCAAAGTTTCATTCAAATAAATGTAAAAAGAATAGATTTTGCGTAAAATGTGTAGTAAATGCTTTGAACACGTGTACATTAGGACTCCGTTTGGTCTACACATCGTGGGGGTGGGGTGGTGAGAGAATCTTTAGAGTGATCAAAAGAAATCCAAAAATACTTAAAGTGATTCATATTTTAACTAACTGTGTAAAATGTAAGTTAGATATGAATATTTTTATACTGATTTACTACATACAGTTAAAACGTTACTTACAAAACCAGAACACACTCTTTACACAGAATATGTGGGTGGAAACTTGTACGTACGCACGTGCCTTGAATATCCTTGAGTTCATAACGTTTACATTTTTCCTCTTTCACAATTGTTACGGACAGAAATTCCTGAGCTGCTGGAGTCTTACGGTGCTGTTTGTCAACGGGTCAGTTGTTAAGGGCAGAAATTCCTAAGCTGTTGGAGTTTTATAATACTGTTTCTCAACGGATCAGTTGTTGAGGGCAGAAATACCTGAGCTGATGAAGTATTACAGTACTGTCTCTCAACAGACCAGTTGTTAAGGACAGAAATTCCTCAGCTGATGAAGTATTACAGTACTGTCTCTCAACGAATCAGTTGTTAAGGACAGAAAGTTGAGAGACAGTACTGTAATACTTCATCAGCTGAGGAAGGATCAGTTGTTGAGGGCAGAAATACCTGAGCTGATGAAGTATTACAGTACTGTCTCTCAACGGATCAGTTGTTAAGCAGTTAGTCACGTGGTAATAGATACCGGTTTATATATCTAGTTTTACGTTTATTTATGATCCCCCCCCCCCCAGTTTTTACTGTTAGATGTTTTGTTGTCTTTTAAGTGGTATACCGTATTCCTTCTGACACACTTTCAAAGGATACTCCCAAAGAACTTACTCGTTAAACTCAGTTTTTCGTTAGATTGTAGATGTATATACACGCGTGTGTATTATTTACCTATCCCTGTCGTTAACCTTTTCGATAGCGACTGATTTCGTAATATATTTTATTCCAAAAGTCACTAATCTTTCTGAGGTCATTAAACGTTCGAACCGCTATTCATTTACAGCCCCATTTCAGATAATATGACTGTTCTGTTTATACAAAGAACCAGCAGGGCTGAGTCTCTCGCAGTAATCAAACCTCGAATTCTAATGTAATAAGCCCGCGAGCTTATCACTGTTTGTGGAATGTAGGAGAACATAATCTGGTTTTATTAGTTTGTGGAATGTAGGAGAACATAATCTGGTTTTATTACTTTGTAGAGAGTAGGAGAACATAATCTGGTTTTATTAGTTTGTGGAATGTAGGAGAACATAATCTGGTTTTATTAGTTTGTGGAATGTAGGAGAAGAGAATCCGACTAAAATGTGGCTATACTTTATTGTTTGCTTTCAAAGTGAGTTATCATTTCGTATATGAATGGTGATTATAGTGTAATGTATCTCCGCTAGATGTCCTATTATATAGCTGAAGAAAACGCTAAATTACGCGCATACATGCGCTGAGCGATCTTTATAATGATGTCCCCCTGTAGTTTTTAATAAAACCAGATTATGTTCT